GGTCTGAACATACCCCCTCCCATGTATGCACTGTGGGAGGGAAACTCTGACATAAACTTATTACATGTTGTGTCATCTAATCCATGTTGTGTCATGACTGAATATCCTTCAGACACAACATTAGCTCTGGTTGAATGAGTCTCCCTCTGAGACTTTTACATTTATGTTATGATCAAAATCTCAAGTTTCCTCCAAAGCCAAATGGTTTTCATCAGTATTTATTCAGGCTTTTTCTAGATCTATCAGAGGGCTTTGTTTGGTCTTTGGCTGCTTTCTACGAAGAGGATTAGGGCCACAGAGCAAAAAAGTATATTTTTCCCCTAAATTTTGGTTTTAGTTTCAGAATTTTAAAATTCTGAGAAATAAAACTCAGAATTCTGACTTTAATCTCAGAGTTCTGAGAAAAATGTCAGAATTTTGGGGAAAGGGGTCAGAGATATGTTTTTTTCATTTTCCTCTTCTGTATTTTCTCTCTCTTTTTCTGACCAGTACCTGATCATTTTCGTTAATTTAGTTTTTGTTCACTCAACTCTGAACAGGGATCAGTATAGGTTCTGCAAATCTGTTTTCCAGCACTGCACACACATACTGCTGCTACGTGCACAGCCATGGCTGATTAATGAGGGGTTTTTCTGCAATTTATTTTAGCAGCACATATTAACATATATTTTTACTGGATTATATTTTTGATCAAGAAAAGCCCTGAGTTTATCTTCGAACACATTGGGGTTTGGATTSATTAAAAAYGAAACGCCGGCRCACAGTCACATTTTCACAAGTTTTWAAAACTTTAATTACTTCCTTTCACCCTTCTATAGCAGGGGTATGTTAAAAATGTAATCCGCCTCTGCAGGTTTCTTGCACCTTGGAGGTCTCCGAACTGCTCTCTACAATTATATCTTTGCAAAGAAGTATGGAGGTGTTTTCATCCTGCGACTGGAGGACACTGACCAGARCCGACTGGTACCGGGAGCAGGAGAGTCCATAGAGGACATGCTGGAGTGGGCTGGTGAGTGGGCTTGAGCAGTATGAAAGCATTTAGGTGTACCACGGTATTAAAATATGGTGATGATGTATACAAATTATAACAGTATGAGTCATGTGAGGTGATGCTCCAGTTGTCTTCAAGGCTGCAATGAAAACTGGACAGTTATTTGCATGTACATGCTATTTTTAATTGTTAATTAGTCAACACACAACACACTATTTTTCTCCCAGTAATACTGTATACTGCAGTATTTTGTAAAAGGTTATACCATGGTATGAAAATGATCAGTACTGCCTTACTAGTGATCTGTCTAGTTGTAGCAGTAGTTTCTATTTAAATGTTATAGTTGCACAAACTAATGTGAGAGACTTTTGATAGTCGTGTTCTGTTCTACTTTAACACGTGTCTCCGGCAGGTTTACCTCCAGATGAAAGTCCTCGTCGAGGGGGGCCTGTGGGTCCATACCTGCAGTCTCAAAGATTAGACCTCTACAGGCAAACGGTCCAGCAGCTCGTTGAGAGCGGTCACGCCTATTACTGTTTCTGCAGTCCCCAGAGGCTGGAGCTCATCAAAAAAGAGGCTCTAAGAGCTGGACAGGCTCCAAAGTAACAAGAAACGGATCTATCTTTCCCGCATTATATCTTTGAAATAGAAACGTTTGAAAGAAGTTTGAGTTTCCCGTCAGAGGTGAGGAGCTGAGCATTTTCTCGTCTCAACAGGTACGACAACAGGTGTCGTCACCTGCGACCGGACGAGGTCCAGGAGAAGCTGGCTCAGGGGGCGTCGCATGTGATCAGGTTTCGTCTGGAAGTTGGTGTCGAGCCTTTTGTSGACCTGGTCTTTGGTTGGAACCGTCATGAGGTGGCGCAGGTCGGGTTTGTTGTGGTTTTATTCCTTTCTGTAGCATTTATGCTACAAACAACACTACAAAAACTGTCCATCTTACCAAGTTTTAAAATCTTAGATCAGCCAAAAAGTCT